AAGGAAATTGTAAATGAATCCCTTTTGAGTATATATGTTAAGCTATACTGGTAGTTACAGAGGGTTATCTCTAGTAGTGTCTCAACTAGCACCATTTGCCACACTGTTCCAAAGGGTTCCCCAATTTTCCAGAACATATTTTGGGGGTTGCAAAGAGACATTTCCTTCCCTGAGTCAAAAAACCTCTCAGTAGAAAGACACAATCTGATATAACTCAACTATTACTTGTATCCTACCAACAAACCAACAAACAAAAAACTATCAAGAGATATTTGAGTCACTTAGTTAAAGTTCAACTCCAAAAAAACTGGAATGTTGTTAGAATGTGAAGAAGTCACACCTTTAGAAGAAAAGGATTTACAGGACAAGATTCAATACCTGTAGCTTTAAGTAAAGTTTCATATCACCCCAGTGTGGATTATGAGGATTTTTCTTCAGAATGAATCTAAGCACTGGTTCTCTCTTGTCTAAATCACAGTCTTTCAGAAGATACTCTTGCTTTGCTTCAGTCCTTGTTAAGAGTTTATGTTTGTTTTCAACATCTCTGAAATGAGATCCCAACCCAAACTGAAAATATATTCTGGGCATTTGTCTATATTAAATTATTAGTTACACTAGTTCTTATCTTTGTATTCTTATATTCAGTGAAATGTAAGATAAGCACACTGAATACCAAGTTGGGCTGTGCAAAAAGAGTTTTGAAAATGATTTGGAAAAAGAGCTTCAGACTTTATGCAAATGCATAAAGTTTTTTCCAACTTCCACTCAAACCTGAAAAAAAGATGCAGCTGCTTTAATGAACTGAACAATTAAATCAACTCTTAAGCCACATCTTTTTTCAGGCTTGCTGGAAAGCCTGTAAAAAAGGGGTGCTTTAATGAACATTATAAGGTGTTATGCTTGGGTGAGGTCAAACACTTATTCCAAATCATTTTTGAACCATGCACAGCCCTAATACCAAATATCAATGCAGCCACCAATGTAATCAGAATTTTATCTTTAAGTATTCCACTCCACAGAAACAAGCACAAATTTGACAATTTAAGCTGGAATCCTAAGCACACTTACTAGAAAGTAAGATTCACTGGGAATACTTTCCAAGTAAGTATGCATAAGTGCCAGTTAATTAGGTGCAACACTTAAATTAGTCCCACCTAAATCAGCAGGACTATTACAAGTGTCTCAATTATGCTCAATCATCTATGTATATTTGCACTTAACTATCACTGGAAACATGTTCACAATGACATATAAAGACAATTGTTAGAGAGTTTATGTAATCCTATGAATGTTTCCTCAGACATATTTCCACTATGTAAAATATCTTTATCATCAGTAAGTGTACTTGGGATTTCAGCCTTTTAGTATTTTTCTATATGTATTTTCATAAAAATAAATGTCACTGAGTTCAATTGAGTTTATTCTTGCATAAGCAGGTATAAGATTGCACCCTCAATCTCTGTGAATATCATGGTTTAAAATGTATTTGTTTGCATTAATTCATATTACCAATATTTGGGGTGGTTGGTATGTATTTAAAAATATTTTGAGTGTGATATGCCCTTACTACTGTATATGTAAGTTAGGATCACAATTCCTTTTTGATTATCCAAAAATACAACACTTGCATTTTCATCTGCCTATGAAATGTCGTAATTCTTTTATTGATTGACTGATATGATTTGATGCTGCCCAACTGCAAATGATTCTGGGCTGCTGAAATTAAGTTTATGAAAAAGATTTATTTTTCACACTGAGCTAGAAATGTTTACAATACAAAAATAAAATGAGAACATTTGTTAAATTCAAATACTAACAAACTAGCATTTGTTAAATACTAAATCCACTTATTTATTCATTCTCAATCCACACAGTTGCCAGGACAATTGAACAAACCAAAACAAAATTGCCATACCTGCAATTATCACATGTTGCTAGATCAAAATGATTCATGAGATACGAGTCCATGAATTCCTTCCCACATTCTTCACAGATCAGGTAATCAAATTCTAATACTGGCCCTATTGAAATAAGAACAAAAGCACAATAAAGTATTTAAGCTGTTAAATATATCCAAATAGCAAAATAACAACAACAAGAAATGCAAATGGGGCAGAAAGAATTTTAAGCTTTGGAATCTTGGGACTCTCATTTTTCTGTGTTTTATTGCCTACAAAGCTTGATAAAAACAAGTACTGCTTTTTAGAAGTAAGCTTGTTTCCCCAGGCAGTTGGGCCATGAGGTTAGGCAAGCTGTGTTGGTGATGTGGTTTTATGATTGGGATGTACTGTTTACCTTGGGCATCATGAGTTATTGTTCTGTAACTGCTGGTTTTAATCCTCGTATGCTGCCAAGAGTCACTGTTGTGAGATCGGCAGCTGTCAGGTTCAGCCCAAAGAACTCCACGAGACAGTACAGATACAGTTCTATTGTATTTATTAGCTTCCACCTCCAAGACAGAATCTCTCCAGACTGAATCTAAACTTCCCAAGCCAGCAAGCCAAAACACTGTGAATTCCTTAGGGGTGGTGCCAGCCTCATCTTCTTAACCTTCCCACGCTCCTGCTGGGGGCTAAGGAAATGCTTATCTCCCCGAGCGCGGCC